TAAGATTCTAGCTCTGAATAGCGACCGCCCAAGGAGTCAAATCTACAATTTGTTTTTGAATATTAAAATTGAGTTTGTTTGAATACTGTACATAATTTTATACATTGTGTATTTATTTTCCTCGAAATTACGCTTCACTAAATTGCCTCTATTTTCAAGTGATATATAGGCATATAACTATTCATAAAACTGACATTCATAATTAAATTTTATTGCATCATCTAGACCTTCTAGAGGAAATACTTAATAATAAAAATATGAATAATAATTTTCTAAACATTTTAATTTTTTTTAAATTATTATTTGCATGAATTTATGCGAAAGACGTATATTTTTGGAATTATAAGGCAGCATATTTAAAAATACAGTACGAAATGTAATGGAATAAAACATTTCCAAAATTATTTAATTATTTAAAATCAAAAATTTATTATTATTATTATTATTTTACCTAAACGAAATTAAATTACTCAAAAATTAAAAATTTTTCCAATGTATCAACAAAAAACGATTAACAGTTATAATCATTCAATGAAGTGAAAACAATGATATATTGAAATGATTCGCACTATAAATATATATTAAGCGTACTTTAGAAAGTTGTTAACAAGACCATATAAAATGAAATAATAAAATCGAATAAAATATGTTCATTGACGAATTTCTGAGTTACAATTAATTTAGTTGATATTCTACATCAGAAACTAACATGTGAGTGATGGAAGCCAACGAGTAATTTCATCACTAAAGATTAATAAACTTTTCATTACTATTATTCAAGCGACAAAAATTACGCAAAAGCTGAAGAATAAATAACATTCTTAGAACAAGCTTGAAGCTTAAATGTTCGTCGAATACATTTAAGTTTGGTCATATCGTACAGATCCAAATTTTGAATATTTAGCTAATTTGTTGTTGCGTAAAAAAACGTCTCAACATAATAAAATATCATTAGATTTATGCGTTAAATATAAAAATTTTAAATAAAACATCCATATAGAAAAACTTTAAAAATTAAACTGAGTTTAATGGTACCATTTGTATCGCAATTGTTTCTGTACTTGAACTTGTTCTGTTAAGACGATCTCTTTCACATAATGCTAATCAAAAATTAATTCTGCAAAATATATTCAACAGCTTAAATCTTTGAAGTTAACAGTTGCTAATGAGGGCCATAGAAAGGGGTAAAAGTGGTACCAAAAATAGAAAGCGGTTATCGTGATTACGAGCCATGGTCTGTTAGTTTATAAAGATTTCACTTTCAACACTTAGTTATTTAAAAAATTTCTGATTTCTAAGTCTCCCTGGATAGAGAAATGTGTTGCCGGGAGAAAGAAAGTGATACTTTACGCATAGCACGTTCCTTCTATGGAAAAGTTTATTTTGGTTTCGTCTGAGAGTGTTGTACTGGTACGCTAGCGGGTAATTTCAAATTAGAATTATATTCGTAACGTTGGCAGTAAAAAAGGGATCCGGCCATGGCCGGGTCTGTTCCCACGGCCTTGCTAATAGTTCTGGGTCTTTCTTCGTCTCTCCCGATTTAATGAATCTTCGGATAATTGAACAGAATTTAGTCAAGTTCGAAAATGGTCCATTAATGGAACGAAGTTTGGTTATTGTGTTCTTCCCGTGCCCATTTCCGTGAAAACTATGCCACCAGCTTAACTATAGTCAAACTTTATTTTATAAATGGAATTCTATCATAAGATTCAAAATATGTGCAGAAAGTCCTCCTTAAAACGTCGTTGGGGAAAGATTCAAGTATATTTGTATTCATTTATAATTATCGTTGTTGAATTTTCTTTATAACAATAAAATCGATTCTATGAGGTGGGAAAGAAATGCTGGATGTTGCAGACATGTCCCAATTAGAATTATATGTTGTTTATATCAATTAGCCTATGGTAAAGTTGGTTTCGTTACACGTCGTTTGTCTTAACGTCGCAGTTTCAAGAACTTATCGACGACGTTAAGTGAGGACTTGCTACACATATAATTTTAATGGTCGAAAACTATTTTTAAAGAAATTTTTTAAAATTTTATTCTGAAAAAATATACCCTGCCGTAATAAATTAAACCATCCAAAAGTATCCAATATTAATCGGCAAGCGACATTAAGATGTTAAGATAAATTAATGATTTCATTATCAAGTTTTTGCTCTGATGATAAAATTATTTAAATGGAATTAAATGAACGAAAAGTTTACTGTTTATATATAACATCAACTTCAATTAGTATCAGATTAATAAACTAAAATGATTTTCTTACAGCAATGTTACAAGAAACTAATTTTACTTTATTGAAGTCATTATAAAGGAACAGAACAGTACTGCAATAGGCGATCATAACACTAACAATGGTACTGTCTCATTGACGTTCTCACCTAATTAAAGAACTGTTACACCAGACTACATTTGATATCAATCCTATTTGAAATGATGCAAAACCAACACTGTTACATGATGAATTTCAGATTTATTTATTTTAAGTGTTCCTATATCACTAAAATATATAGAATGGCAATGCAATCATTGTTACAATTCAGCAACTAATGTAATATGACAAATTTCAATAAATTACAATAAATAGTTATTTATAAAGTTTATGCAAAATGCTTTGATTCTTTAACACTACATTTATATTTTGTACCCATTAACATTTGATTAAACTTCAAGAAATGGAAAATTACTCTGCTCAAGTCAGACAATTTTTACTTCCAATGAAAATGAAAATGGTATCTGATTTGAACACTAATACTAAGCTACATATTTCTAACAATGTTAGAGAATGTTTACATATTTTGATATACTATACATTCTCTATAATAACTAATCTTCAAATTTATTGTCCTTCAAATATCTGTAGTACTTGATGTACTATTAACTATACAATGCCATTCGGACATTTCACAGATTCACATTATTACTGCAACACTTAGGCTATTACACGTCCATGACATAACCATTGTGTACTGAAATATAAATACAGAGGTATTCTATATATTTCAGTATTCTATATCTAGTAATATAATATATAATTCAATATGCTTTCTAAGTTATTTTAAAAGTAAAAGTGAACAAAAAATGTGCTATTTTCTAAATTTGGAGATCTGGTTACCCTTTTCCAAGATATACAAAAAAGACTGACTATTAAAAATGAAATTTTAACATTGCTTTTTATAAAATTATTCTGTACATGCATAGGTGAAATTATATGGATGGGAGCACAGATGGGCATTGCTTCCAGCATTGGCTAGGAAGTTATTGAATTTTGAGCCAGGATGCATTATAGATATTTGACAAATAAATAAATAGTTGTAATTACCCAGTCCTTATAATGGTCTTTATCAAATAGCCTTTGAGATCAGTAATCATAATCCTTGCCCCTAATCTTTATGCTATGCCCAAGGAATGATATGAAGCTCTCTCTGCATTTCATACCTCATCTCAATCTCTTTTCATATCTACATATATGTTTATTCAAATTTATTCAGCAACTTTTTAGTCAAAAATATGTATCTTCTGATATTGAAAAAAACATCAAAATATATTTTTAAAACTTTGAGATGAATTTATATTTAATGTATTTTTATATAATAATATTTTATATCTTTGTATGAGTATATTCAACAAAAGTTATACAATAAAAGAATTTTCTGTTCAATAATTTAGAGAATATATTTGGAAAGAATATATTAAAAATTTGACTAAAACGAAAATTAGAAACTGCTTGAGCTACTATTTTACTTTTGTTAATTACTATATTTTCATGCATATAACCTGCAATGTTATACTTACAGAAAACTGCTAGAACCATATCTCCCTGTGTTTATGTGAATAGCCACTGCTCCATAGGTGCAAGTTCATAATTACAATGTATATTTGGCACATAACCTGCAACCCTTTCAAATTATCTTTTAGACAAAGTAAACCTATGGGCTATTCACACAAAAATACAGTTGATAAATTTCATATAAGATACATTAGCACCACCAGCACTACATAGACATAGAGATTTTATACCACAAATTTAATAGAAAGCCTTTACTTATTCTACAGACTTCCTTTTAACCAATCTGAGAAAAATTTTAATTAGAAATTGTAATTATTTTCTTTACATAAATTCTAATTAATATTCTGAAATTTATAAAATGTTAAAATCACAAAACTTTTCTGAATAAAATATAAGATATAAACTTATAAGTTACATCATAATTGTCATATGAAGCATCCTGTGCTAAAAATCATCAGAAATTTATAATACTAATATTAAAACTACAAAAAATAGATAAAGAATGATACATAAATAACTGAATCTTGAAATTATGAATTAGCTGTTATAATAAATACATAATTTAATAATACTATCATCTAATTGTGCACTGAATATTACAAATTAGAATAATTCTGATATGTTCACACATCTGTTATTATTTCTTAAAAATGTGAACTGTTACAACTGCTGCTATTATAGTTATAGATAGCAATCTTAATTTCAAATAATGCTTTTGAAAAATCATATACAGTACTATATAATTATAAATGAAGTAACTTTTGAAAAAAAAATTAATCTAATAATTTATATTTATAAACTAGGTTTTTTCTGCATATAGATTAATGGCCCTTTAAAAATTATCAATAATTTAAGCATCTAAAAATATAAAAGTTAATAGTTTTGTACATGTGTATTCCAAGATGTCTATAGCATATATTCTAAATTATAAAAAATTTTAAAAATTAAGCATATGAATTGAATTCTTATTGCAATAAAGTTCTTTTATATAAGATTTTCATTTGCACTGTTTGTAAGTATAAATATATAAATAGTATAAACAACTAAAATCTTTATATACTTATAAATGTTTTTCATAGATTTGTCAAGTCAAAAATTTTATAAAATTTCTGTGTATATTTGACAATGTTGTAAAAATATTATCTTGTAAAATAGTTTTCAGTTATTTTATAAAATTCATTAAAAATGTGACAAAGTTCTCTCTTACCTGTAATTGGATTTATTTGGAAACTTCCATTTGTATTCAAAAGAGTATATCTTAATGAAGCATTATTTCCAAGATCCTTATCCTTTGCAGAAAGTGTTCCAACATGAAGCCCTTTGTCACCATTTTCTTCAACAGTAAACACAAATTTCTTTTCTACAAATTGTGGATCATTATCATTAGCATCAAGAACTTGTAATAATACTGTAGTAGTTGCTGATAAAGAAGGATTTCCATTATCAACAGCTAAAATTATAAGTGAATAATGATCAACTGTTTCTCTATCCAGTGCTTCTTTCAAATACAAAAATCCACTATTAGGAAATATTCCAAATTTTTCTGTATCTTTAATATTTGCTAATTTATAAGTTAGACGAGCATTATTTCCAGTATCTTTGTCAGAAGCAACAACTTCCAAAAACTGAGAATTAGCAGGTAGTGATTCTAAAACATTTACTTTATATTGAGATTTGGCAAATATTGGCACATTATCATTGACATCTTGAACCTCCACAATTAAAGTCATATTGGATGACAAAGGTGGAAGTCCAGAATCTGTAGCACTTAAAATCAGAACATAATGTTTACGAACTTCATAATCAAGTGGATTTTGTAATGTTATAGTACCAGATGTTTCACCAATACTAAAAGCACCATCGGGATTATCCACCAACTGATAATGAACTTCACCATTTTTATTACTATCTAAATCTTCAGCATGAGCCACATAAATTGGAGAGTCAAGTTCAGCATTTTCAGGCACACTTATCTTTAATGACATACTGTCAAAATGTGGGGCATTATCATTCACATCCCAAATGGTTATATTTACCTGAAAATTATAAAATTATTGTTAAGAAACAGTTTTATATAATGTAAGAAACATAAATAAAATTTAGTTAAAAATTATAATTAATTTTATTTTTTAATGTACTGTACAGTAAATCTTCACTAATATGGACTAATAGAGTTGAAGGTTGTCTGAGTTTACAAAAGTCAGAGTTATGGGAATATTTCTCAAATGATACAGAAAATGAGAAGGTATACTACAGTAATTTATTATGATTAGCACAGTACAGTATACAACAATGTACAGTCTTTAGTAACTAACCAACTACAGTAATATAATACACAGTATTGCAAAGATCTTCATATCAAAAACACTTGTTAAATGTAATTTTTTATTGTTAAGAAATTTCAAATTACTGTACAATTTTTCAAGAAAATTTGTTCAAGATATGCAAAATCCAAGTTGTTCAAGTTTATGCAAAGGCCAAGTTGACCTGAGTTAGTATGGGTTTACTGTATAAATAAATGCTTAACAATACTTTCAAAATTGTTAGTGTCTAATTTTTATAGTTTAGAAATTTTCTAATTAGAAAAGTTAATTACTAAAATTAAGAAACTTCATTTTTGTACCTGAGTGTGACCATATGTTGGAGGATGTCCACTTGTTGCTTGAATGTTCAACAACAGAAATGGATGTTTCTCATGATCTAATCTATCTTTACTTATAATATTGCCTCTTAATGGATCAATACTAAAATAACTTTCAGGATCTCCAGAATAAATTGCATATCTTACCATGCCAGCACCTAAAAAATTATGTAAGAGTTAAGTTTATTTCAAAAGTAATACATTAAGATTTTATTAAAACTACAGTTCACTTATAACTAAATAATGTTTATCACATTATAAGTTAAAATATATCACTTTCAACTGTAACAAAAATTCATTAGGATAAAATAAAATATAATAGTTTGCTCTCCAGATACATAAGTAGTATCTGGAGAGCAAACTAATCATACATATATCATAAGTAGTATCACTCAGTAAACAAGTTTTTGATTATAAGTAAATCAAAAACTTGTTTACTGAGTGATATTCAACATGCTTTAGAATTTTTCTCAAGTTCAATCTTTCAGTTTGAACACATCTACTCATCTACTCTTATTTTATTTAAAAGTATCTTAATCACAGTATTTCAATAATAAATTTTAGTTATGGGTTTCCTCATGTATCCAGTTCTACATGGAATAGATAATAACAGATATATGTAAAAACATAATCCAAAAACTTGTAATATAACACTATAGAAGAACTTGTTTCTGATTAGGAATAAAATTAATTCATTATTTGAAACCAAAAAACAGTTTGATATTGACAATTTAAAAACTCTTCTAAAACTTACGTGAATCTGCTGTTGTTGCAACAACTGTTCCAACAATCATCTGTGGCGCTGCATCCTCTCGTACAGAAAAACTGTAACGTGACTGTTCAAAAATTGGTGGTTGCTGATTTGAACTAATAACACTGACATATACATGAGCCATGATTTCAGATGCTAATTTTCCACCATCCTTAGCAGAAACAGTAAGATGATGAAGTATTGGATTGCTATTTAATGTTCTAATCACAAATATTTCACCTGTATTTAAAAACATACTTTAATTATACTAATAATTTCACTTAAATAACATCAAAATATATCATTTAATAATTATTCAATATTTCCATTGTTTTAAAAATATATAAACTAAAATTGTGTAATATACTATTACTCACATTTTATTTAAATAATACAATAATTAAAAAATGAAAGTTTAGAAATCATAAGTAACTCAAAAATTTACAATTCTTAAATTTATAATTTCTCATTTATTTTCAGTAATTCTTTTTCATAAAATTCTTTCTTCATAGCTACAAAACCAAGTTTTAGCAGTTAAAAGATCATATTTCTACATGAAAAACTCCCAGAAACTTAATTATGATGAATGAGGGTCAAAGTGATGATCTGTTAAGAACTGCATATTTAAGCTGTCATATTATAATCTATAATACTTAACAATAAAAATGAAGACTAACATTTCTTGAATATCCTACTACAATAAAAACCAAATTATGATTTGTACACAATATCCACAAGATTTCATTTTTTTATATAACTATTTAATTATATTTACATATTATATAACTAACATTATATAATAATTATCTCAAAATATTTTCATCCTTTTTTATAGTTTTTATAAAAATTTCTAAGTCACTGATTTATAGTTACTATTGAATATGTATATATAGATATTATTTCTTAAAAACCACATAGTATAAGTTATTAACATCATATAACCATAAAACTTATTTCAACTAAAACTTTTTTTAATTTAAAGTTCAATATTTCAAAAAAGCAATAAAATGTTGTTGCATTTAAATTATTTTATTAAATGAAAATAATAATTTTTAATATGATGAATGAAAATATATAAATTTACATTTTATGGTGTTAAAAAAATATTTAAATCTAATTTAATTTAAATGAACTAAATAAAAATTTAGTGATTTTTTGATTATTAAATTTCTGTAATTCAATTCTTGAAATAATAATTTATAATGTTTTCATTCATCATTGATTTATTTTATGAAATGAAATGAACCAAATAAGAGCATTCTGAGATTAGAAAAACATTATATATATAAATATTGTTTATTTATTATGATTAAATTAAAAAGTTATTTGTTTAAGTTCAAATTCCATATAATGTGCATAGAATAATGCATCTATTCATGATTTAATAAAATAATACAGATGTTATTTTTGTATTTGAAATTAACATCAATGTTTGTAGACATCTGTTATTCCATCATATCAATAAATATGGCTAGAATAACAAATTGACTGAATTAAGTTACACTATTTCATGACAAATAATCAAATAATATAACTATACCTGTATTTCTATCTATTCTGAAAATTCTCTGTTCATTTCCATCCACAATATCATACGTGATTTGACCAAAAATTCCAGAGTCTGCATCAGTTGCTGCTACAACAACAACTGGTGATGATAATGCACTGTTACCTTCATGTAAGCTAACATTATACTCTTGGGGATAGAAAACTGGTCTATTATCATTTACATCCATGATTTGAACCTTGATCATCGCTATTGTACTTAAACCACCTGGAAAAAGTTTTATAAAACAAATTATAATAAAAATTTTATTTTAAAAATATAAACTGTAAATTGCCTATAAATAAAAAGTTAATATTATATTATATCTAAATTATTGTTTTCTCAATTTTTTCCAAAAAAATGGACTTACATCATCATTTTCATAATAAACAGTNTTAAAAAGTTTCTAATTTCTTAAAGTAAAGAGATTAACTTTTATTTTTTCTTTTTCTTTTAACATTAATTTTTTCTTAAAGAAAAAAATCTGTTTTAACAACTTAATATAAATAATGCATTAATGTATTAAAATAGTAATGCATTAATATCAAAGCAATCATATAACAATTAACCAACATAAAATATATCAGTAATCTACAATTAACTATAAAGAAAAGTTAAATTAAAACAGGAAGAAATCAATAGATGAGTAATATATATTATATAAATATTTCACATGCTTTCATATCTTACATCATGTCTTGAATTTATTTGATTTTTACAACATACTATCATCTTTTAAAATGATATAAATTTTAATTATTTTAAATAGGAAAAAAAAGTTAATCAAATTTTGATATTTATAAAATAAATCACAACAATATATGTATATATTTACATATTATATTCTGTACTATAAATATTTTCATGCATATATTAATCCAAACTAGTAGAAGCACAAAATAACCTATTTCCGATAGCAATCTCCTGAACTCTGATTATGATCGCTAAAGCTGTTTGAAAATATTTGTTTTTCATTAAATGATTTGAAATGGCTAAAAGAAGATTGCTTGTTTTGTCTTTTAAAACATAAGGTTAATTAAACTTCATTATAATTATTCATATAAAGTACAGGATAATTTGTTAAAGAATATAAATATATCATGCACATTTTTACTTAGTATATCATATCTTACTTTTACAATTTTATACTAATTTATAAGAAATAAGATTTTTTCAATTCCATTAAAATTACCTCTTTAATAACAATGTTGTCAATCTAAAGATTGACTGTAAATTACATTTATTTGAAACAAAGAATTTTGAAGTCCAAATAAACAAAACACAAAAGAAATAATATCAATACCATAGAACAAAATGTTCAGTGAAATCAAATTTTGTGGTGGTAAACTCACAAAACTGTCTACGTAAATGTGATGAGAAATTGAAAATAATTAAAGGTTTATATGGAAATTATATAAATTTTGAAATATAAGAAGCCATCAAAACTTAAATCAACTGTATTTTCCATCCACTTACTTCATTACTTAATCCTTATCAGCATGAAATACTAAAACATGCTACTTATATCTTATAATAATACAATAGCAATACAATTGAAGATATAAGAATATTACTAAATACTCAGAATAATGACTGTTAATAATTTTACAAACTGTTATATAAGCTAATATTCAGTAAAAGATCCAGAAAGTGAACTGACTCAAAATTTAAATTATTTGAATAAATAAAAACAACTTTTTATTAATAAGTGCAGGATGACTGTATTGCAGAATAAACCATATTTGCTATCATAAATATTTTAAAAAACATTTCGAAATTTGAACAACTAGGTTTTAATTTTTTTGTGTCAATGGGGAAGACTTAAGCATCTGTAGCCCTTCTTGGATTTGCCAATACAGTATTCAGTTAACATTTCAATACAGTATGCTTTCATGATTAATCTTTAAAAAGTAACAGTGTATATTATGTGAAAATGTATGAAAATTAGAGTCTATAAAAAATTTTATTATATTTTTTAATAAAATTTACTAAAGGAACTTTGCTTTTCAAGTACCTATTTAAATTTTTTTAAATAAAAATTAATTTCAAAACAGTTTTTGAAATCAGTAAAAGCATAAAAAAATCAAATATGTAACAATGTACTTATTTAGATCATAATTATTCAGTCAAAAAATATAACAAGTTTTTGCAATGAATATTTTTTTCAATATTGTATTTTACTTATAGCATATTACATATTGTTTCCAAAAAATTTAACTGATAGTTCTTATATGAAATGATAAAATTTAACAAAAAATATGTGATATGACTTAACTTAAAGACTTACTTTTCTATTTGAAAAATTCTGTACCTTATCCAATACTAAGCATTACAGCTTAATTTAATAAAAGGCATGTTAAAATCTTATTTCATTAAGCTGTTTTTTCATTTTTCAATTAAAATTTTATTATTTGAAATTTAAATTAAAGTTTATCAAAAACAAAAAAAAGAATTATTAAAATTACGATCACCCAATAATATAGTAATAGCCCCGGCGAATATGGGAAGGGACAATAAAACCATTAAAAGCAGTAACCATTACGATTTTTGAAACAACTTGAATTTTTGAAAAAGTTTCAAATATTTTATTTCTTGTATAAAATATAATTGTTTCAAATGTGAAGTAAAATAACTGCAGGAGCACAATAAAAAATTAGTGCAGTCAACATTCTTTTGTTTGCTCTTCTTCATCTAAATATGTAAAACTGCTAAAAATTGTTCCTTTGAAACAATTATATTTTATACAAGAAATAAATTATTTGAAACTTTTTCAAACAAGAAAAAAATTTAATTAAAAATACTTAGTCTGAAGACAAACATAAAAAAACTTTTGTAATTTTTTAAGAAAATTACAAAAATTTTTTTTTCTTGTTTTATTACTTTATATCCATCAAATGCTTCATTCAATAAAACATATTTAATACTTTAAAAGTGCACAAAATATTTTGCAAACTCAAGGCCACTCAGTATTAACTTCAAAGATTATTCATTTGCCCTAACTTAACAACAAAGCAGAAAGGACATTATTAAATTACCATAAATATAATATTAATCATCATCATTATTATTATATTTATTAAATATATTATTAATCATCATTTTGATGTTTGTAAATATATTAATAATTATCAAAATCATCATACATATATTAATAATAACACTTTATTAAATGAGTGTAATTATTCCAACATTAAGAGTAATTTAATCTGAATTTTATGATAAAAATATATATTTTCTACTGTTTACATTCTGATATTTGCAAACATATTTAAATAGATATTTAATCAGTATTCTANTCGTAAGAATTTCTGATTTCATGATCTAATGCTCTGGCTATACAAAGATCTCCACTGACTGGTTGCACTGTAAAATCCCTAGAGAAAACGGATCTTTTCCCACCACCCATAGTATAGTTGACCATAGCATTGACTCCACAATCTGGATCTGTAGCAGATACCTAAAAAAAATAATATCTTTTTAGAAATAATATGCTAATTTCAAGATAAAGTTCATTAAAAAATGAATTCTGATAATTAAATCATACAAAGTAGACTAAATATAAAAAGATAGACACGCGACATAAAACATTCGCAGTTTTTGAAATATCGTAACTTACTACAAAAAAATCATTTCAAACGAACAATTACATATTATATATAATTAATACAAAAGTAATCAAATTGTTTATTTAAATTTACAAATTATTTCATGCAATTTAAGCATTATCGGTATCCGAATTCATCGCTGTACAAAGGGAAAAGATTAATATATTTAGTTTATAAAATATTATATCATCAACAAAATTATAATAATCATATTAAATTTTTTCAATCTATAGTCTATTGATTATTTTATAACAAGCCATGATTTTACCCAAGTGAGAGTTCTTAATATTTAGATCTCTGTTAAAATACTATAGTAGTGTGTATAGGCCTGCAGGTAGTTCTTAGTTAACAATTAGCAGTTAGCAGGTTTTTGTTCAACAGTTTATAAATTATGAACAACTTTTATATTTTATATCACTTTTTCGGTATAACGTGATCTCCGAGAGAGCCACTAAAAGTGTATTTGTAAAGAGAGTTTTGCTTAAAAGCTACTTTCAAGAAACGTATCTATCACGTTAACCGTTAATTACGGTTAACTATCCCTACATATTCTTAGTAAAACCAACAAAATATAATAATGAGATAATATTTTTCATAAAAGATTAATCCTTTCAATTGTTTACATTCACTGCATCTAACTGTTAAAAATTTCTTTAAAAGTATGAGCATAAATATGGAAAGTTTTATATTTTTTCCATAATACAATCTACATTTTTTATATAATACTGAATGTTTTAATATGGTTCGTTTATTATGAAAGTAGTGTAAGACCATTTTTCCTTGTGTCCAGATATTTAAGGGGTATTTCAACCGATTCAAAAATATTGAGAATGTTTATCAAGTTTGCCCACGTTTCTGTGAATTTAAATGTGTAAATTCATTATATAAATTATTTTAATGAAAATTAATTAAAAAGAAATGTTTTTCGTGCCGTAAATGGACTTACGCCATTTTCATAATTATTAAATTGTTCAAATCATTCAATTTTAATGTTTATAAATAAAAACAAAAAACAAAACACTGTTGTTTAATCGCTACACACTAAAACTCCGATTATCCCGATAATGTAGACTAATGCTATCTGGAATAACCGAAAACGTGGATAAAAAAGAAGATCACGACCATTTCGGATTAAAAATTACGAATATAAAAGATTTATATGTTATCGCCTTTAAGTTTCTTTTTATATCTTACATCCGCAGAGAGAAGCAAACGAGGGAGGCACTTGCCCTCGTTGGAATCAAGTCGCTTAAAAACTTCCACAAATTATAATCTTAAAAGTGGTTAAGATATATAACTTACATCATAACTGTATTCTATTGCGAAAAAACTCCAAAAATTTAAAGATACAATTATTTTTCTTCAAGCTTTATCCTCCCTGGAAAATTTTCTGCCGACGTCCCTGATCTTAGTTACTTTAATCATATGTAAAAACAACAATTTTTACATCATTTAATATATAGTTGATACGTACAATAGTTTTAAGAATAAAAATGTGTATTATTATAATTACATTTTAATATGAATAGGCCTAGTTTGTCTGGCATTGAAGTTAAATGATAAAAAGTAGCAGAAAACAAATCGTACGTGTTATCGTTTTAAACTTTCTTTAAAAAGTCCTTTAGAGTTAAGAAAGCAATGAATTCACTTACGGATAATCGAGTTTCTGCTGTATTTATTTTTTTAGTTATTAATAAATTATATCATGCTTATAAGTTTAGAAGTTTAGATTGTGTTTTTCATTTCGAATCTTTATGTGGAAACGTTTTAAAATATTCGTGATACGTAGGACGTATGTAAAGCAATTGAGAGGTTGCGACCGAAGTTTTCATCTGTAAAACGTGAACGTCGAACGTCGAGCGCCGCTATCTTGTAAGCGGCGCTCGACGTTCGACGTTCACGTTTTACAGATGAAAACTTCGGCCGCAACCTCGCTAATAACTCATCATATCCTTATATTTTTCAATGTAATGGAATTAATAGTTTTAAATAAAGGTGTTAGTGTGCTGTTCCAAGTTTTGGTAATTTTCCTCTTCTGGTTTTTGATATATCCAGAGTTTTAAATTCCACAGCCTCCATTGTTTTATACAAAATTGGATATTTTCTTCGTAAACTCGTAGATTTTCGTATCACTTTGCGAGTCTAATCGCAAAATGTCAGTTTTACTCCCTTTCTGTAATTCGACTATGGGATATGGACTTGCACCACTTTCGTAATAAACGATTATGTAAATTCGCACAACGAGTTTTCAATGATGGAAGCAGATAGATATTTTAAAATACTAATTATAAAATGTCTATAAATAAAAAGTTAATATTATATTATATCTAAATTATTGTTTTCTCAATTTTTTCCAAAAAAATGGACTTACATCATCATTTTCATAATAAACAGTCCATATAAATGTGCAAATGCGTAAACTTTGAAAACACTTACCTCGATCAGTAGCAATTATAGGAATTTCGTAAGAATTTCTGATTTCATGATCTAATGCTCTGGCTATACAAAGATCTCCACTGACTGGTTGCACTGTAAAATCCCTAGAGAAAACGGATCTTTTCCCACCACCCATAGTATAGTTGACCATAGCATTGACTCCACAATCTGGATCTGTAGCAGATACCTAAAAAAAATAATATCTTTTTAGAAATAATATGCTAATTTCAAGATAAAGTTCATTAAAAAATGAATTCTGATAATTAAATCATACAAAGTAGACTAAATATAAAAAGATAGACACGCGACATAAAACATTCGCAGTTTTTGAAATATCGTAACTTACTACAAAAAAATCATTTCAAACGAACAATTACATATTATATATAATTAATACAAAAGTAATCAAATTGTTTATTTAAATTTACAAATTATTTCATGCAATTTAAGCATTATCGGTATCCGAATTCATCGCTGTACAAAGGGAAAAGATTAATATATTTTTAAACCATTATTATAATATATTTTCTAAGTATAATTCTTCATTTTTTTATGAAGTCTCGGAGATTATCTTAGAATCGAACAGGTTATGGACGGTGATCTATAACATATTCGACTCTAAAAAATCAAACAAATACTATTTGTGTCAAATAAAACAAAATTAAATTAACTGAATATGAATAAAATTTCTTCTCAATATTATAGTTTATCTCTATAAATATATTTATCAATATAGCGAAAATATGCTGAATGAGCGTACGATATAACCTACTCTAATATACAATGTAAGAATGTAGTAGACGGCTTCATTCATTATAGGCTAAAATATGAATCAATTTAGTAATGAATTTTATAAACTTTTCTAAATTACAATTAATTAATTATTTGAGAAATGCTTAAAATTAATAATCTACGACAAAAATTAAAGTAATTAGCTACCGTATAGGCTATAGCTACTTGTACAGTAAGTACTTCGCGGTATAAGTATATTTTTCGCTTAAATTTCAAGAAAATTACATTATTCATTTCGATTATAACCGGTTTGTATACAGACACATATTTCTGATCAACTTTATTAAAATTTTTCGTAACAATTTTACTCAATTTTGCCTTTTAATTGCAAAATTGAGATTAGGATTGTAAAGAATTGCCATTGCAAAGAATAGCTAAATTAAAAATAACAACAGTCACATTTTAAAGAAAGTAAAATATGTAGTCCTAATTGAATCACCAAAATAAAGGATAATAAATCAAAATATGATGCTTTTCGAAGTAAGAATGCAGACGATTTACGAGTAGAATTTCATTTCTTAAAACGTTTTTGAAGTGAAATAGAAAAGTTATATTAATAGCTATTCAAAATAAACTCGAATTTTTCCTAAATATCAAATAATTAAATAATATTTAAACATTTTTATCATATTAAAGGAAATATCAGGATTGAATTAAATTTTTCTTCCGATTTTCATCGCATCAAGATCGCAATCGATGATAAATTTGCTTATTACGGAACGTCTCACGCAATGAAGTCGGTACAACGGGATATGGAAACGAAATTCCGTTCAACTATTCCATAAGAATTTAAAAAGGGCCAGGTTAATCTGAATCTTTCATGGAAATAAGAAAGTACAGTACATCATCCTGTAGCGATTTAGACGGCACAGAATATTTGAGATGTAAACGTTTCGACTCGAGAAAATGTGTATAAAACTTATCAAGTTCTTAATAAATAAATAAAAATTGATTGTGTTTGTAAATTTAAAAAATTCTTAACGATTAAAAGTAATTGAATAATTCCTATTGCTACAATATTTCTAGTATAATCAAATAAATAATCTTGCTAATAAATAAATAATATCTAAAATATATATTCTAGTGTATAATCTATGTGTTCATTGATAAAAGAATGCTCGAGATGAACTCCCGATCTTCAACAGGATGCCAAATTCCTACTGTATCGTGTCTGTTAACGAAATTTTTACTATTATTCTATATTCTTATTCTTTAAAACAATTAAAACGTATATCAAATTTATCAAATGACAACAAGCATTTTCAGTTGTCAAGCATTGTATCAGTTTTACAAATACATATTTTAAAACTTACATAAAGACATGAAAAATAAATGGAAAGATGAAAAGTAGTTTTTAACATTAGATTAAGTGAATGTCAGTTTTCCTGCAAGAACTGTGCTATTTTTAAATTGTCTCATAAGGAAATATTGTAGGCTAATAGATGATATAATACATAATCAAAATGTCGAGGAAAGACTCGCCTTCTATTTAAATATCTAAGCGAGAACATTAATCATGATTTGCATTTCAAATGAGCGCAATCAGAGAAATATATTTATTTCTATTCGAATAAATTCGATAATAAAATTAAATTTACGAAGATGGATTAAATTTATAACTAAGAAAATATTCATTTATTATGAACTACACAGATTTATAATTATACAAAGCTTAATTTTTCTAAATGAAACTTTCGATTGAAATACGTTATCCGTTTATTTCGCATTGAATAAGATACACATCTAATGATAATTTTTTTACTTTTAATAAAAAAAAAATTCTAAAAATTGAATAAACGAATTTTAATTTATTTAATTTCCACTGATTTATTATTATTATGAACTGTAACAGTAAAGAATAATGATAATAGAAAAACGAAGACCTACTTAAATTTCTTTTCCCAGGGAGACTAAATAAAATTGAGCTTAAATTGTAATGATTTACGCCTACTGGCAACTTACCACGAAATCTACTTCCAAAATCTAGAGGCACCATCCATTTACGTTTGATTAAATCCTGAAAATTCTAATTAATGACTACTTGGGAGAAGTTTGTACCAGATAAAATAACTAAAGGAACTAAACACTTTTAAAAGAATAAACGTGAGTAAATACTTGTAAATACTTTTGTGGAAGAGAAAAATTATCATTCATGATGCCATGGGAATATAAGAAATACACATAACGATTGGAGAGTTCATTAGGTACCGAGTAAAGTAGTTATATGGTATCCAGTTACAACCAACCTGCAGATTGACCTTGTTCCCACATTTCAACCTCCCTTAAGTCTTTCCATCACCCTCCCGGCGTCCTGGGGATCACCTTCCTCTCCTACTGTTTCAAACAACTATCAGACAATAAATATCGTTTTAGACCTCATTGCCATCTTACGACAACGGTGCAACACGCGGAGAAATGATACTTCGATATCCTACATTTGTCTCTACAATATTCCTTGAATCGTTCATTAGGATTGGGGTTTCCAAGAATTGATCCGCGTCTTCATAAAATCAAATGCAAAAGTAAAGCATTTCTCGTAACACAGAATCTTTAATTATTGTAATATATATTTATGTTTTTGATTTTTCTAAATTATATACTAATTTCGACCGATTTTTTAGGCTAAGTCGACTTAATTGGGTTGACTTCGTGACATCCTGCAGCTACCATTACACAAAAATGAATCTCGGTACGTTTTATCCATCTTCTGTAATTTTGTGTTTATGATTTTGTCTTTCGTACAATTAGAAACCCCTTTATTACCCCAATCGAGATAGTGATCTGTGAAAAATTCATCCCTATGCAAAGAGTATATACGTCAACTGTTTCGCATATTAAGTAAATAATTTATTCATAAAATAAATTTTTATTTCGCTATTCTGTTAAGAATCGTTCTTAACATTCCGTTCATCTACCAATAAAATTTGATATTGGAATGATGAAAGGCTTGAGCCAGAAAGAGTGTTTGTCAATAAGGACCCAGGTGTGACCGCGAACTTGGCGCATACCTAGACCGGTTTTCCGCCTCCAGGAGACAAGTCACAGTCTTACGTTGTAGAAAAGAAAAGTCCACAGCTACTACTAATCCATTCTTCTACAATCTTTCACGAAATTTAAAAGAAATTATTCAGAGAAAATATACAAATTCATATAGCAACAGAATAAATGAAACTAAGCACCCCATTTCCTTTAAGTATATCAAGTACGGTAGTCAATTTGGATTTTCAAAATTAAATGAAGTTCATTTTCTAAATGGACAAAAATATCATTTATAAAAGTATTATCGGCTCAGTTATCTTATGGCTCAATAGCCTTTCGGGGTCAGCCACCTACACGAACATCGTTTGCCACCCATTACATCTCCACCCACAGGACAGGCAATGGTTTTAAAGGTCGAACGATGCTATCAATCAAATATACAAAATAAAAATCCCACCTCTACGTTGTCAACAATATCTAATTCTAATGGAGAGCTAAACGTTCACTAAATATTCCAAAAATAAAATTTAACATTACGCTATTAAATAAATCTTTATTTTTCGTTTACAAAATGCATTTCGATGGACAATTTCGTCTTCAAAAAATTGTCATAAGAATTAAAATGATAGTGAAAAGGCTGGATTCGAATATATGAGATTGGAGATAAGCGGTATTTATAAAGAAAATACAATATTTTTAATAATTTAAACAAAGTTAACTATAAAATACTTTACCAATTCTTGCTTCTCTTAAAATTAAAAAGAAAATCTCTTTATATAGATTTTATAAGATTTTAAATATAAATGAAGATATAACCTGAACAGGAATTGAAATATTTCTTTAAAACAATTTCTTAAATAAACATATTTTTATTAATTAAACTAAGCAAAGAATACGCCTAACATTTTATTCGAATTTTTTAAAATAATTTATAGTAATTTCTAATATGAAAAATTAAATTGCAATCTTTATTTAATTTTATTAAAATAAACTAAAACAGATTTGATTCTTAACTGAATATTACAAGAAGAGTTGAAACGATACTGAAATGTAGAGACCTACAATATATATAACTGACATTTAAAAGAAAATTACAGTATTTTAATAAATTAACTAATTAAAATTCTGTTAGCTATTTAACAGAAAATCTTTAAATCAAGTTCTAAACTTTATTATATAAGAGATATAACTTATTGTCATATAATAATAGATAGGAAGATTTGCAAACATTAAAGCCAATTTCATATAATAATTAGGGAAATCATTATTATAATTTCATCAATAATTTGTAATCCTATTTAATAAGAATGCCAACATTGACATATAATTTTCAAACATTTTGACAAAAAGCATTAACTATGCCTAATATTGTCAACTATTCAACATATTTGAAAAATTCCTTTGAATAAAAAGAAA